GGCTACGGAAGAGGAGAGGAGGAGGAGGAGGAGGAGGAGGAGGAGGAGGAGGAGGAGGAAGACGAGAAGAAGCGGGAGCGGACCACAATGATACAAAATACCCCGGATTCGCATCGTAGCGAAACGGGCTGGGCTGCCAGGAAAAGCAAATAGGACTGGCTAACCGCAACGAACGGCGCGCCGAACTGCGATCGAACAGAGGGGGATGAAGGAGACAACAACTAGCACACGAATAATACAACAAATAATCGTCACTGACCTTCCTGACGGGGCCTCTTGAAAACAATCCTGACGAGATGCTGCGCGCGTGAGTGGGCGGAGATGGCGTCGCGGACGTAGCCGCGGAACGCGTCGGCCCCATCGGCGGCCCGGAGGACGCGTCGGGCAGCGTCGTGCGTTTTATAAAAAATATGTTTTTCTGATTATTTTTGTTTAACGATCGCCTGGAGCGCAGCCGCCGCAGCCCTGGCGCTGCCGCCCCGGCAGTGCACGGGGAGAGAATGCTCGTGGGGGCGGATGCCCAAAAATTCGCTGAGGCACTCCTCCGTTGGCGGCCGGCTCAGCCCGAGGCACCGGCGACAATGGGCGTGACATGCAACACCCATAAGACGCAATGTTGTATACTGCCCCCCCCGCGCGGGCAGTTGAAGAGACGCCCCCCTGCCCCGCCGAAGCGGCGGGCGGTGATCCAACCACTCCAACCAGTAAGAATTTGACGCGCCTGGACACGAGGGGGGGGGATGGGAGAGGCGAGGGCAATAGCGTTGAGCCACCTCACCTCGCTGGGTGACGGCCAGGCAAAACATCGAGCTGCCATTTGTCTGGTCGTTTCCTAACGCGACGTGCAGCAAAAGACTGGGAAACGGTTTTTAAAGCACGAGCGGCCTGCGCTCGCCACCCGCTCCATTCCTGAACGGCGGGGCTTGCAGGGTCGAGGAGAGAAGGCGCCGCGCGTACTTGCCGCTCGGCTGCTGCCAGCTCACCGGCGGCGTCGCGGAGCGAGAACAGAAAGTTCCGGTCGATGCACGGCTGGAAATGCCCCGCCCAAAACTGATTCCCAGGGTCGCGGCTCAGCTGGCGGAGCTGGCGAGCTCAGGCTTGGATCCGGAAGCCGCCGCGCGCGGCATTCTCAAACCAGGCGGCTCTGGCCCTCGCCACGGAACAGCGCGCGACACGCTTGCAGCTCGATCGCGTCGAAGAAGTACGGCAGCGGGTCAAGCTGCGCGACGAACATGACCACTGAGCTCACGAAAACCTGGCACGCCAGGCAGGCGCGAAGAAGGCCGACGCCAATTTGCCCCCAGAGCTGGGCTCTGCCGACAAACTCTTTGAAGGGGGCATCCCATAAGCTGGCGCCTCGGCCTGGGCCGACGACCACGCCGAGGCACTTCGCCCTGTCCTGGAACTGGGGGGGCCCCACAACGGGGCGACCCGAGTGAGCCAGCGACGCGCTTTATTACGATCTTACCTGAAGGTCACGCCTGAAGAGGGGCACGAAGATGGTCCTGTCAGCATGTAGCCTCAGGCCTGGGATACGCTCACACTCGAAGAACATGTCCTGGATGGCGCCCACGTGCTGGAAGATGTCAGAATGCACCATGGCCGCGTCACCGGCGCAGGCGCGCACTCGAGCTTCCGGGGAGTGCCGGCCAAGGCGCCGAAGCAGAATGTCCGATGCCACCGCGAACAGCAGCGGGGACAGGGGGCAACCATGGCAGACTCCCCGTGCCAGGTCGAAACCAACGCGTCGCGAGCCGCCCAGGGCAGCGGAGCACGAACTGCGGCAACACAGGCAGACGACAAAATTAACCAGCCACGCCGGAAAACGAAGCTTCGGGAACACGGCGAACAGCATGTCGTGCTCTACGGACGGGAACGCGGCATCGAAGTCGAAGAAGAGCGCCCCGCCCTCGTCGGATGTGCACGCGCTCGTTGCCACGGCCTCCTCGATTTCAGTCGAATTGGACAGCACGCTGCGCCCTGCGACGAAGCCTCTCTGGATGTCGACGGTCTTCGGGCCGAGGACAGGTTCCTCGAGATACCAAACAACGCTGGCCAGGAAACGATTGTCGGTGTTGGTCACGTTCAACGGCCTCGTGTTCTCCGCTGCGAAATAACTCTCGCCTGTGGCCGCGGTGCCCGAGCATTCTTGGGCAGCAAGAACAAAAGGCTCGCATTGAAATCCAACCACTCCTCGCCGATGGTCGCGCAGCCGGAGTCGCCCATCAGCACGCGCACAGCGTCGAAGAGAACTGTGGTGGACAGCTTGATGCGACGTCTCCAAACAACGAAACTGATGCCGTCGGGGCCCAGGGGTGGATTTCTGAAGCGCTGGATGGCGTGCCGGACGCGGCGCCTGCGAATGCCGAGGCCTCATCTACAGCGTCCTCGTCGCCCCCGTTGTCAGCGTCCGCGTTGAACCAATGGTCGAGGAGGGTATGGTCGATGCCCTCCACACTAAAAAACGCCCTTTCCAGTGTCTCCGGAGTTCTGCGGCCATCTCGGCGGCGCCGGTCAGGATCTGGCTATTCCTGGCCAAAACGGCCGAAATCAACCAACTTTGCCTGGAGCGAGCCGGAAGGTGAGTCGCAGATTTTTGTGCTTGGCCTGAGTGGCCCGGGCAGTGTTGCCACTGATGAGGTCGGCGTGCGATTTGTTGAGCTGGTCAAGGGCATGCTCTCTGGCCAACTCGACCGCGTGGCCCCTGACGGGCCAAAGACGGATTGAGAGATCGCCCCGAACTCGCAAGGGTTGTCCATCAGCTGGCCAGGCGGTGCATAACGCTCGATGTAAGACGATATGCCTTCCATCACGCCGTTCTCGACGCTCCGCGCGAACTTCATCGCAGCCCCAAGCCAGCCTTCGAGGTCCACAGCAGCAGGAGACTTACCCATCGTGGCGTCCAAACGCTGGGCCACTTCCTTGATGGAGCCTTCGAACAACTGTTACCGGCGAGTCGGCGATGCCAGCGGGTCCTCCTGGGGTTTGCGGTGATAGCGCAAGGCTAACAGGCGGGGGGAATCGTCGTGCCAGAAGGCACGTTCGGACACTGGACGTTCGTGCTCGCGGCTCCTCTCCGGCGTGCCGCGGGAAGCGTAGACCGCCCTGTGCGCCGACAAATCTGGGCACCATTCCAACGCAAAGGCCCGGAGGCATCGGTCCAGCTGCTCCGAGGCGTAAAAGTTCATGTAGAGCCGGTCCAGCCGCGCTCGAGGAAGATGCGGAGGCATGTGTAGGCTCACCCTGAAAGAGTTCGTGAAACCTGCGGGGACCAGCCAGAACTGTCTAGAAGTGGCTCTCCTCCCCCTGGCCCCTTCTGCCCGTGGAGGTCTGCGACGCAATGGCGGTCCTGTCGCAAAACGAAGCCGCGCAATTGAAGTCCCCGCCGAAGACGGTGAGCGCCCTCGCCTTAGAGGAGATCCTGCCGGCCAGGCGATTGCATAGGTGTGCCCGGAGGGCGGGAAACGTCCTCAGCGCGTCGTGCATGGAAGGACCCACGCCAGAACAGTTCCTGTTCGGTAGCGCTCGCACCGCTTGGGAAATAAGTCACGATAATGTCCAAAGCTCCATGGGGACCACGCAGCTTGAGCTTTGCGGCCCTGCCGGGCCAGATGACCTCGAGCGGGGCGATGCTCGAGAAGAACTTGAGGAAGGAATTCTTCACGATTGCGCAAGCCCCCGCGCGCCCTGGCGAAGCGCCGGCCGACCGCCAGGCGATGGTGCCAATAGGAGGCCACCAGACGGCGTTCCCAGCATCTGCGCCGTGAGTTTCTGTCAGCAGGCAGACGTCAGACCTCGCGACAAGCGTGTGGACGCGAGAGGCGTTGGCCTCATGGCGTTCCGGTTCCGTGGCGAAGTGGGCCTGCGCGTTTCACAGGGACGCCGCGACGTCCAACGAGAACTGGCCCAGCCTGGACGCCCCCCTCGGCGGTAAGACAACCGCCCAGTGGATCGCGAGGGCAGGCGTGGAGATGGCGTCCGGCGGCAGCTTGCCCAGGGCGCGCAGAAGCCTCCGGCGGCGGTACATGGACAGAGGCACGTCATCGCGATTGGCTGTCAGCGACTGGTCAGGTAGCAGCTCGCGATCACCCAAAACAAATCCAGGAACAGGAAGAAGAAGTCGGTCAAAATCAACAGCGCCAGAGGGGGGAGCACCCACCTGGGCCGCGAGTGGTCCGAAACGCCCAGCCCCGCCTGAGCGGGGTGGAGACAGAGAACGAAATCAACAATCCAGTAGCCCTCCCCAGACTCGTTCGCGCAATAACTTCCAAACCCGCGCCCTGGGCCCGACAGACACCCCGTGTCTAAGCGGCAGCCGCCCGCGTCTCGATCAGCTACCGCCTGCCGTCTCCCGGCAGGGGCCCCAACTGCATAAAGGCGTGCAGGATCTCGATGGCGACCCTGTCGGTGCCTACCAGGACCGTCTGCCCATGGAGAGCGGCATGAACCCTACGAACTTCATCGGTGCTGCGGAGTAGGAGCCGTAGGCAACCAGGGGGCGCGTACTGGTCCCTGGAGGCGAGGTGGTAGAACTCCCCTACCTTCCTACCTTCGACACGGCGTCCGGTGCGGCCTCGGGCAGCACGAGCCCAGCGGTCGAACAGCTGTTGAACAGGCGTGCAAGAGGATGCGGCGAAGGACATCCACATCCTCCCGGTCCACCTCCCCTTTGACCCTGACGTTGGTGATGTGGTCGCACAAGCTGTTGCAGCGTTTCGGCTTCTGCTTCGTCGCGGAGACCGCGTCGAGGATGGCCGAGAGAATGGCAACAGGTCGACCCCCGTTACGTGATGGCTTCGACTTCAGCACGGTGGCCACTGTAGAGGGGTCTTCCGTAAGGCAACGATCGAGGACCTCCACCCGCATCGCGGAAGCAGCGTCGGAGTATACCAGCGCTCTGCTCTTCGAGGTGACCAGAAGCCGCGTACAGAGTGGCCAATAATAGTGTAAGGAGGTCGGGCCGTTGAGCCATACGATCATGGCGTCGGGGTCACTGCACATCAGCGTGCTGCCAAAAAACTGTTTTCGGGGAAGACGGTGCAACGGAGATGCTGGAGCTGCAGGATCTGGGCGAACTGGTCGACACCCTCGTGGAAGAGGAGGTCCACGGTGACCCGTGGAAGATCTTTCGTACTGCCGTTGCTTCGGTTTGGAGGTCGGCAAAGGATGTTGCTCCAGAGCGGCTTCTGCATGATTGCATAAAATGTTGGCATGTTTGCGGCGAGCATGTCCACCGTTGTGCCGGAGACCGCTTCCAGCTCTGGGAGGGCCGTGTTGAAGGGCATGACCCTGGGGATGGATGTCGGCCCAGTGAAGCCCAGATAAAAACTGCGAGCCCCATGCGGGTGTGGCGGGGGCAAGTTCAGTCAGGGAGCACCATCTCGAAGGGGTGCGGCACGAAGACAAAGGCTTTGACGATGGAGGCCCACCTATCTCCTGAGAGGGGAGACCACCGAAGGTCCATGACATTTGCCGCGGTATCCATACCAGATCAAAGAGGGAGTGGTGCAATTAGCCGTACGCTGGCCGGGCAATTCGACGAGCCAGCTCTCCGGATGAGGGAGGCGAGGAGGCGGGTGAGAGCGTTGAAGTCGGAGGGCGCCCACATGGTGACCACCATCCCCTTCAACTCTTCCCAGACCCTGTCGTCGACCTTTTCCGCCATCGCAGCGATGTTCCTGGACGTCGGCACGATGTTCGGCGCCGGGTTGGTCGCAAGGATGTTGGACCACTGGGTGTAATAGGGCTCATCCGCGAAAGCCTTCGTGTTGACCAACAGCTTGAGCCCGTCCTGGCCCAGCTCTTTGCACAATGGGAGTGCGCTAACCTTGATCTTGCGGCGAGCGCGCAGCACCTTGGGCAGGTCCTCCTCGCACCTCGACGCGTCCTGGGTGATCCTGTCCGTGACGGCGCGTGCCTTCCGGACGTCAGCCGGGTCCCAGCCGCCGATGGTGCAGGCAAGGCTGCAATGGTACGTCACAGTGCGCAGGCGACTCGCGTTGAGCTGCACGGAGGGCTCGGGACCCTCGTACATGGCGTAACCGAGTGCACGCCAGCGGTCCTTCGAGTCCAGGTGGTATCCCAGCTTTCCGAAGATGCTGGCCAGACCAGCCCAATCTTCAGGGAGCTGGAGCGGCGTCTCTGGGGCAGACTGCTGGCTGGCCTCGGCGGCCTGGACGATCGGGCAGTGCGCCAGCACCTCGTCGTCGAGCCACTCGCCGATGAGCTCATCGGCGATCGAATGGATCGGCACGGCGGAGGGCCCAGAAGGGGCATCTCCCAGACCGTTCTGGGCCCGCCCGGCGTCGGCGTGAGCGCCCATCTGCTAGGCGGCCAGGTCCCGCGCGGCGCCGATCTCGTCGGCCGTAACGTCCACGCCGGTCGGCGCATGCGGGGGGCGCTCGAGTCCTGGCGCACCCGCGAGCGAGGGGGCAGCCATGGCGGGCACCGGTGCCTGGAGAGAAAAAGTGCTGATGGGTAGGGAAGGACAAAAAGTGCTGCCAGGGGGCCAGCCCTTTGAGGTGACGATGGGCCCAGGCGGTAAGAAGGGTCACATGTTTTACCCTTCCAATTGGCTAGAGCCAGGAGGCCTTGAGCCAAGTGGGGCCTCCTAACATGTAGTGCGCAGGAATCGGGGGGGCCTGAAAGGCGTGCAGGGGGCTCTTGGGAGGCAGTTTGGAGGCTGCTGGGGGGCTGTTCTGGAGCCTCTTGGGGCCACTTTTGAGTCTCTCTTTGGGGCTGCTGGGGGCCTCTTCAAGCTCTTTGGGGGACTCTTGGGGCCTCCTCGGGGCCTCTTTGGAGCGGAAAGCCGGAATTGTCGATTTGCGTTCCCCCTGTTGGGCGCCTTTTAGGGCCATCTCTTGGGCTGCCTTGGAGCGCTCTTGGACCGTCTAGGGGCCTTCTTGGCCCGTCTTGGAGCCGTCCTGTGGGCTCTTGGGCGGTCTTGAGGCGGTCTTGGGGGCCTTTTCGAAGCTCGAAAACGCGAGAACGCTAAAACCCTAAAATGAAAACAAAAAAAATTAAAATCAACGATTTTGGCCTCTTCGGGCGCTCCCGAGACGCCTCTCGGAATTTTCTTGGGGCCTCTTGGAGGCCTCCTGGGACCCTGTAGAGCCGTCGGAAGTCTGTCTTGGGCTGCTTGGGAGCATCTTGGGCCGTCCTTTCGCGTTCTGGTGGCTCCTTAGGGGCGTCTTGGGCTATCCTGGGATGTTTGTGGGCCTCCTTGGGAGGCCCCGGGGCGCGGTACCGGGAGTTGCCCCCAAGTGTTCCCGAGTTGTGGGACGCTCTCGGGGGGGGCGCATTTGTTTCATATACAAAAATGTATACACACATACATATATACATACATACATACATACATACATACATACATACATACATACATACAGACAGACAGACAGACAGACAGACAGACAGACAGACAGACAGACAGACATACACGCATACATGCATACACGCACGCATTACATTACATTACACTACATTACGTTACAATACATTACAATACATTACATTACATCAATTTGTATTACATTACACTACACTACACTACAGTACAGTACAGTACAGTACAGCACAGTACATTACATTACATCATATTACATTACAATACAATACCATACAATACACTACACTACACTACATTACATTACATTACATTACATTACATGACATTACATGACATTACATTACATTACATTACATTACATTACATTAGATTACATTACATTAGATTACATTACATCACATTACATTACATTACATGGCATGCCATTACATTACGTTACATTACATTACATTACACTACATTACACTACATTACATTCCATTGCAATGCATTACATTACACTACATTACACTACGTTACACTACGTTACACTATATTACATTACATTACACTACACTACACTACATTACAATACATTACACTACACTACACTACATTACATTACATACATACATACTTACATACAGACAGACAGACAGACAGACAGACAGGCAGACAGACATACATGCAGACATGCAGACATGCAGACATACAGACATACATACATACAGACAGACGGACAGACAAACATGCATACAGACATACCTATGGATGTACTTAGACACCAATGCGGGGGTCAAACCTGGTCGTACAATTCATGGGGTGTAGATATGTTCTGCAATCTACAAGATATGCGGTGCAGGTAGACGAGATGCAAGCGACGGGGTGCAACCAGACACGCCAGCCAGCGCACCCAGAAGCGCCACCCACCGCATGGGGCGCCCACGGGGCGACGACGGGCGGGCGCTCGGTTCAAACCTGAGACACCCACCCAGCGCGCGAGGCGGCCACCAGGCGGCGCAGGGCGGGCGCCCAGCGAAACTCCTGGGAGGCCACCCAGCGCAAAGAGGCGGCGACGAGGCGGCGCGACGGGCAGGCACGGAGCGAAAAACCCCCGGGGGAACCCGCCCAGTCACTCGGCAACACCAGCAAGACCCTCCTGGTGCAAGCACCGTTCGAGGCATCCGCAGACCCCCGCGTGGCAGGGGTGAGAAGGCGCGTGAGGTGATGGGCTGTCCCCCCCCCCCACCCTGGCCCCCCAGGGCCCGCAGTCCCTTTTTAAGGAGGGGGGTGACCCCACGAGGCCGCCAGCACATACGCAGGGCGCTCGGAGCCTCCAAATCCACGGCTTGTGACCCTCAAGATGCCCCACATGCTTTCCCCAAGTTTGCTCAAGGAGGACTCCAACCAACACGCCAGAGAGTCCTCAAATCGGCCAGGACAGCTTCAAGACAGCTCAAGTGGCCCTGACGACGCCCCAACAGGACCCCAAGAGGCCAAACGAACAGTTGTTTTACCCATGTGTTTGCATGCTCGTCGCGTCCTCGCCCACACTGGCCCAAGGCCTCCCATGATGCCCCAAAAAGGAACCCAAAATTCCCCCAAGAGAGCCGCAAGGAGGGCCCAGGAGGGGGAACACGAAGTGGCATTTCGAGCCCATTCCCCCACGATGGCCCCCACGACCGCCAGCGGGCCCCCAAGAGGCCCCAAGAAGGCCACCAGAGAGGCCCACAAAAAAAACACCAGGGAGGCTCCCACGAGGCATCCAACAGGCCACGAAGAGGCTCCGAAGTGGTTTCCCAGGAAGCCCTAAAGAGGCATCCAAGAGGCCCCCAAGAGGCTGCCCAATGGGCCGAAGGCCACTGGATAAAATAGGATGCGCAATTAGTCGTAACAATCAAAACGCTATGAAGACGAATAATAATAATAGTTATTAATATTATTATCATTATTATTGTAACAACAACAGCAGCAGCAGCAACAACAACAACAATAATAATAATAATTATACTAATAACATTAAGACTACTAATAATAATACGAAAAATGATAATACTATTAGTAGTACGGATAGCGCTGGTAATAAGAATAATAATACGAACAATCATAAGAAGAAGAAAAACAAGCAAACAGAGAAATGCTGCTCGAAGAGCTGTTGGGACTGATTTCAGCAGGCTCTGCGTAAACGTCTCTGGGCCAGCTTCTCCCCTGGGGGCCGGAGGTGAGCGCGGAGATCATCGGCGGATGAGGCGCGGAAAGGAGCAGGCTTTAGCAGAGAGCGCGTGCGGAGGAGCGTGCTTCTGAATGTTGTCCGGGGAGAAGACCGCGGGGGAGGCTGGAAAAATAAAGAATGCACAATGAGAGTATGTGTTCGACAGGCCACTTCTTCAACCACTGCCCTTGTTGCGCCCGACTCCGAAGGCGGCGACGGCGACGGCGGCGGCGACGGCGGCGGCGGCGACGACGGCGGCTACGGCGACGGCGGCGCTCCCAGGCATCCGACGTTGTGTGTTTTAACCAGCCCCCTGGAGGTGTCGACCACTTCGCCGGAGACAGCTCTTCGACCTGGATCCGTTTTTGAGTGTCCTGGGGCCCAGTGACGGGCCCCACGAGGCCGAAATCGAAGAAGCCCGCCAGAATTCTCACGAGTCGTAGCCTTGGGGATCCGGCTTGACGGCGGCGGCGGCGACGGCGAGGGCGAGGGCGCAGGCGGCGGCGGCGGCTGCCGCGGTGGCCCCGGCGACCCGCGCGCAGCGGGAAGGCCGGCGCGAGGCGGTCCGCCGGGCAGCTCTCGGGGCTGTCCGGCGCCCGCGTGGAGCCGCCACCGTCGGAGGTCCCAGTGCTGGGGCTCCGAGGCCTTTCGGGCGCGCGCGGCAGATCGGATCGGCCCCCAGTGGGTGGCGACATCCAGACCCTACCCCCACCAAACATCGTTTCTCCTGAATCGAAGGGAGGCGGGGGCAGGGTTCGGACTTCGCCACGTGCTCGACGACTTCCGAAGCCTACTCTGGGCTTCTTGATAAGCGTGGGGGGTGGTACCCCCCGACGGGGGTCAACCTCGCCTCGTCGTCGCGCCGCGACGGGGGTCGGTGCGCCTTCGGCGCGCGGTGGCTGCTCTCGACGGGAGTCGATGTGGGGCTGTCGGCGGGGATGACGCCCTCTCGACGCTTATTCAGAAACTCGGAGTACCCCCGCCGTCCACCGAGTTACCGGAACCGTTGATCGGCGAGGGCAGGGTTTGGAAGTCGCCGCCGACCCAGGCCTCCGACGACGTGGTGTTCTTACTGACAGCGGCTTTCCACGATGTCGGCCTCTGGGGCCCGCTATCAGGCCCCAGCAGGGCCATCAGGGATGGATCCAGGAGGTGCTGCCCCCGGGGAAGTGGTCGGGACCTCTGGGGGCCACGCATGGAAAAATACTACGCCGCGGAGGCCCCTGGGAGCCTCCCGGAGACCTCCGCAGACCTGCCTCACCCAGCTCCGCGCTCCGCGCTGCGCGACCCGGGTCGGACCAGAGGCGATTCACGGAGGGGGTCGGGAAGCAGCTCAGGCAGCTGGTTTTCCTGGCGCCTCCCGGCGCGGGCGCCGGCCATGTATCGAGGGAACGGCCCAGCGGCGGAGGCGAAACCAGCTGCGCGTGGCAGGGTTCGTACCCAGTAAAAGGAAAATTATCTGGGGACGATTTTAAAATAAAATAAAATAAAAAACTATGTTTGGCCATTTGGGGGCATTGTTTTTTACTATTTTTTATTTGTCGTCCAAGCCCCCCCCCTTCGCCCCTTGCCCGATACCCGCCCTTCGCCTGGCCCCGAGCGGCACACGAAGCGCTGTCGCCCTCGCACTCAAACCCCAACCCCGCCCGCTGGCGCGAGGCGCGGTCGCCTGCGCGCCCCATGAGGGCGACCTGGGCATCGGGTCAGGCGGGCGCCCTGGGAACGGGCTCGCGCTGGGCGCCAGGTGAGCCCGTGCTGCAAGACGACGGCAAGAGGGCAAGCTCGCATGAAGATGGATCGGTAATCTCTGAGAACCACTGGGTCTGGAGCATGCATCGGGCGCCGAGGCCGCCCCAGAGCGTCGCAGGACGCTCTTAGGTGGTTCTGGAACGCTCTGAAAGCGATCCATCCTCGTTCCAAGCCTGCTGGCGTGCCGTCAGTTTGGACGGGGCTTGGGTGTTGCTTGATGCGACGGTACATGGGGGGCAAAGAAACGTGCACCGTTCGTGCCCATTGTTGGCCCCAGGAGGCCCCCCCTTCAGGGCACAAAAGGTTCGCCGTTCTTCATCCCCGTTTGTTACCGCCCCCCCCCCCCCATCACGCAACGCCCGAGGGGCGCCGGGGAGGACACCTCTCCGGATCGGGTCGGCGCCCGTGCCAAACAAGCGCGCGACGCATGCATATTCTTTTTTCTCCTCGGAATCCTTCCCCATGGGATCCTTCAGCGCAAGCTCCGACCGTGGACCGCAAATGCCTCACGGACTGGCCGCGCCGAAGAAAATTCTCTAAAAGACCCGCCGACCGTGCGAGCAAGAACTGTCTGACAGACCGGGCGTGCCAGACAAATTTGTCCAACAAACACCGGCCGTGCCAAACAGAATTGTGCAACAGGACCCCTACTAGGTTGCCGAAACGGCCACACTAATAAATCAGACACAACTTAAGGCAAGGAGGGGGGAGAGGAGGAGAAACGCAAAGCGACTGCAACAACCCGTATGGTTGACCAGCGACGGCCAGGACAGTCAACAAAAAAACTGTCGACCCTATCAGAAAACAAGCGAGAGGAGAGAGGAAGCGGAGGAAGAGGGGCGTAACCAGAGATCATTGAGGACGTCAGAGAGCGTTCAGACACCGGGTCGACCCACTGAGCTCCGTCACAGCGTTACGACAAATCTTGCATCAGTTCTTGAGACCGCCTCCGCGCGGCAGCTCCTGATAGAGGTATATTGCACCTTCGGCGAATACCGCCGCCGATTCGTGATCATATATAGAACAGCATGTTGTATATTTATGCCATATACCAAGATAGCCCAGCACGTTTGCTCAACCTCCTTGACTGGTAACCCCCCTCAATACGAAGAAAATGATGGCCTGCCTCCCTGCCCGCAGCGCAACCAATATAATGTTGAATGCAGTCGCAGCCGCTGCCGCAAAGCTTGTGTAGCACTCGCGTCGGCCAGCATTCCAAGAAATGTGGCAGGGCCTGCTTGGCCACGGCGGCCTGGAAGTCTGCGCGCAAGCACTCCCTGTCTTTTCTGGGGTCCTGTCCCGGGCACAGAAGATATTTGATGCTCTTACAGTGGATCCCGCGGGCTCAGAGGCGCGTCTGGTTGTCCATCAGCTGTCGCGGGAAGGATCGGGAGCACCATCCGCTCCATGGCAGAGAAGAAAGGCGTGTCTGCCAGCCAGCGCGCGAGGTTCGCCACCGCCTGCTCGGGCGGCTCTTCCCAGGCCTCATAATAAAGAGTCCGGAGCATGGCCACCTCGCCACGCGCGCCCAAGCAGCGAAACGATCGACCCACGCCACAATCTGAGACCATGCGCCAGAAGTCAGAGGCATTCGCCCACTCGAGTGGGCCAAACGCCATGCTCAGCAGCACTCCCAGCTCCAGGTCGCGGATATTCGCCGGCACAGGCTTCAGCTGAGCCAGGAAAGAAAGGACGGACGCGCAGAAGACATTGTAGACCATCGCGGTATACTGCAACCCTAAAGCTTGTACGCTCCATCCTCGGGCCCGGTCCACCCACTTCTTGAATGCTTCATTCCAGACCTCGTCGCTGCGGCCGGGTCCCACGTGAAAGCACAAGTATTTGGCGAACGAGCAGATCTGGGCATTCGGCCAATCTCACCAATGGCCTGCAACGCATCTTTGATGGAGTCGTACGCCAGCTCAGACGCCAACCACAATGGGATGACGATCGTTTGGCCAAAGTTGAGATGCAGCCCAGAAATCGAAGCGCACTCCTCGAATACCCTGGCAACCTGGGGGAGCTGCTGCAAGAGCTGGTCAAGCACTGCCGCTGCGTCGTCGTCCGCAAACGCCTGGGGAGACCTTCGCCAGCAAATAGAGAGTCCAAGGCGCGCAAAAGAATATCGACCACCACTGCAAAAATGAGCGGTGACAGAAGGCACCCTTGCCGAATGCCATGAGTCAGCAAGAAAGGCTTCCCAGCCCCGCCCAGCAAGCGTACCGATGCCGTCGTCCGGTCGTACAGGCAAGTTATTAAGTGGCGCAAACTGATAGTTGGCGATGGCGCCGCGCCAAAATGCCCTGCAAGCGAAAGCTTTAGTTTGACATCTCTTCATTTGGCGGAGGCGCTGGACGTTTTACTCCCGAGAGCGAAAACAAAACAGTGGCCCATTTTTAATGTTGGCATTGGCGTGGCCAGAAATTGGCCAGCAGCGAAAACGCAGCATTTGGACTGCCCGTGTACCCGCATCAGTGCGCACGCTCGTTTCTTGTGTGAGGGATGCTTTACGGGGCCTGATTTTTTTGTTTTCTGGGACACTCCCCAGGCCCCGAGAAAACCCAAGAAGAGCTTAACAATTTCCAAGAATACACAGGGGAAGCTTTAGTGTAGTCAACGCGCAAGGCATTTTACCCAGCCGTCAAAATTCTTCTATTGGATATGAAGCTGCCCCATATTCCCCGCTGAGTGAAAACATATGCTTGGCATGATTAATGTTGGCGGGGGGCGGTCGCATAATTTCCTGCAAACGAAGTTTTGAACGCCGCAAATCTTAATTCGGAAGGGGCCTTGGCCAAAAGTGCCGCACAAAAAAAAACATCACTTAATAATTTGGGTGTACATGGCCCGCAGGAACTGCTGCCGCCGCTCCGGCATGCCGATCCAACCCAGAGTGCAGAACACGAAGTCGCGCTCAATGGACGGGAAGGCCGCCCGGAAGTCGAACAGGATGATGCCGCTCTGAGGACAGTTCATGCTGACCCGCAGGGCCTCGTGGTCAGTGGCCACCACGTTACTAATCATCGAGCGGCCGCGCAGGAAAGCCGACTTCGGCATTTTCCTCTGACACTTGCCACTGCACTGAAAGGCCTGCCAACTGCGCGACGTGAACCCTCCAAACACCAAAAAGCACCATCAAAACCTTGAACTCAGTTAAGGGGTCGGCGGATGTGGCGTAAGCCTATCGAGCGGCCGCGCAAGATCCCGTTCTGGCTCAGGGAAGCCCATCGGGTAACGATTGCTTCCCCATCGTCGGCGGGCTGCGCTGCACATAGAGGCGACTGTCCGTGCTCACGAGAAATAAGGGTCTTGTGATGGATAATTAAAGGTATTGTGATGGATAATGGTCTTGTGTACACGTCGTTCGCTTCTAATCGTGCTCATTTCTAAGTGTGCTCGTTTCTAACTATTCCTGGCCCCCGAGTGGCCAGGAAGAGGCCCAGGATAGAACAACTAGCAATGAAAGGATCGTGGCCCCCAAAAAAATCGAAAAACTCTCGAAGAATTAGAACTGAACAGTGTGTAGTTGTGAGGGACGAGGGGGGCTGGGGGAGAGCACACGAAGGCCGCCCCACCCCCCTCCTTCCCTCCCTCCTGGGAGCGGGCGCAGGGCGTCACGGTCGTCCCGGCCGTCGTCGTCGCCACTGTCGCCATCGCCGCCGCCGCCATCTGCATCGACGACCCCAAACCTCCGCCGACTCGGCGGTGTCGAGTCTCGGGGCCCCAGACCTTTCGACCCCGTCCTCAGAGCAGACGTTCCATCCCGAGCCGTTCCCGGACGACCCCCAGGCACCAGAGGGCTCGAGGGGCCGAAATTGCAGAAACAACTCTGTCTCGATGTCATGAGCCTCTGGAGGTTTGGGATCGTCGCCACCGGCGCCGCCGACGTCCTCGTCGCCGCAGCTGGCATCGCCGTCGTCGCTGCCGCCGCCGTCGGCGCCAGCGGCGTCGCCGCAGTCGGCATCAGTGTCGTCGCTGCCGCCACCGCGGTCGTCGGCGTCGGAGGCGGCGCCGCTGAAGGCAGCGGCCTCGACGCAGTGCGCGCGCCAGGGCAGCAGGGCACCACGGCCTCGTCCACGAAGGGCCTGCACTCCCCGTCCTCCTCCTCCTCCTCCTCCTCCTCCTCCTCCTCCTCCTCTTCCTCCTCCTCCTCCTCTTCCTCCTCCTCTTCATTCTTCTCCTCCTCCTCTTCCTCCTCCTCCTCCTCCTCTTCTCCTCCTCCATTCTTCTCTCCTCCTCCTCCTCCTCCTCCTCCCGCCTCCTCCTCCTCCTCCTCCTCTTCCTCCTCCTCCCTGACCCTCCTCCTCCTCCTCCTCCTCCTCCTCCTCCTCCTCCTCCCTCCTCCTCCTCCTCCTCTTCCTCCTCCTTCCTCCTCCTCCTCCTCCTCCCCTCCTCCTCCCCCTCCTCCTCCCCCCCCTCGTCCTCCTCCTCCTCCTCCTCCTCCTCCTCCTTCGCCTCCTCCTCCCCCTCCTCCTCTTCCTCCTCCTTTTCCTCTTCCTCCTCCTCCTCCTCCTCCTCCTCCTCCTCCTCCTCTTCCTCCTCTTCTCCTCCTCCTCCTCCTCCTCCTCCTCCTCCTCCTCCTCCTCCTCCTCCTCCTCCTCCTCCTCCGCCTCCGCCTCCTCCTCCTCCACCTCCTCCTCCACCTCATCCTCTTCTTCTGTTTGTTCATTGTGTGTATTCGTCTACGTATACGTCTACGTATTATGAATATTAGTAGTGGTATATTTCATTATTAGTACCAGTACTATTCGTGTTCGCATTAGTACTAATACTGGTAGTAACATCCGTACTTTTATGATTACTACGACTACCATTACAATTAGTAGTATTACCATGTGTCTGTATCATAATTCATGATCATGAGTATCAGCATTAGCATTATTATCCTTAGTAGCATTAGCCTGCGTATGCATTATTGTTTGCATTAGTATTCGTAGTCTTATGATTCTTAGAAATAGCATTATTAGTAATAGCCTTAATAACAGGGGTAGGTAGCAGTAGTACTAGAAGTGTTAATAATAGGAAATATTAGAAGTAGTAATAGTAGTAGTAGTAGTAGTAGTAGTAGTAGTAGTAGTAGTAGTAGTAGTAGTAGTAGTAACAGTAGTAGTAGTAGTAGTAGTAATAGTAGTAGGTAGTAGTAGTCGTAGTCGTAGTCGTAGTCGTAGTAGTAGAAGTAGTAGTCGTAGTAGTAGCAGCAGCTGTTGTAGTAGCTGTAGTAGTAGTAGTAGCAGTAGTAGTAGTAGTAGTAGTAAGAGTAGTAGTAGTAGTAGTAGTAATAGTAGTAGTAGTGGTCGTAGTAGTGGTCGTAGTAGTAGTAGTAGGAGTAGTAGTATTAGTAAGAGTAGTAGGAGTAGTAGTAGTAGTAGTTTTAGTAGTAGTAGTAGTAGTAGTAGTAGTAGTGGTAGTAGTAGTAGTAGTAACAGTCGTAGTAGTAGTAGTAGTAGTAGTAGTAGTAGTAGTAGTAGTAGTAGTAGTAGTAGTAGTAGTAGTAGTAGGTAGTAGTAGTAGTAGTAGTAGTAGTAGTAGTAGTAGTAGTAGTAGTAGTAGTAGTAGTAGTAGTAGTAGTAGTAGCAGAGTAGTAGTAGTAGTAGTAGTAGTAGTAGTAGTCAGTAGTAGTAGCAGTAGCAAGCTAGCCAGCTCGAGCGAGTCAAGCATGGCATGCCCAGTCCCACCCGCCCTCCCACAACATAAGAAGCAAAGCTGGCACAACTGGGGGCCGAAGTCACACCGGCCAGCCGGTTTGGTACAGCTGATGCGGCCGCGATGGCGGTTGCCGACGGGAACTGGCGAGCGCGTGTTGAATGCCGCGCACGCATTGCCAGACGAGTCGAGAATGGCCCGGTACACCGCAGGAAGCCAGAGGTGGCCGGAGGAAGCCCGACGGTCTGACAGGACACCCCAAAGCATTTTTGTGAAAAAGCATTGGGTTTTTGATGTTTTTATGTTGAAATGCTTGCAAACACACGGTGTTCGGTAGGATTCTGACATGAACGCGCGAGTGTGCTCTTTGTGGTATTTTTTGCACAGGATTCGCGGCCTGGGTGCATGACAGAGCATCGCGAGTGCACCGCGCGATGACGTGAAATCGCTGGATTTGACCGAATTCTTAAGATTCCTATGGTTTTCCTATGATTTCAGCAAGAGAGCCCGGGCGGGAAATTTGTACAATTTTTGTGAAAAAGCATTGGGTTTTTGATGTTTTTATGTTGAAATGCTTGCAAACACACGGTGTTCGGTAGGATTCTGACATGAACGCGCGCGTGTGCTCTTTGTGGTATTTTTTGCAATGGATTATCGCCGTGGACGACAGGACGTCCATGTCGAGAGGAAAAAATAAGAAAAATGTTGAGTTTGTATTGTTTTTTTACAGGTTAGGATGGGACCACCCGGATGCGCCCGCTATCTGCCGGCCTGAGGGGGGAGTAGGAGTATATTCGAATAAGGAATAAGGATAGGAGTAGTAGTAGTAGTAATAGTTGTCGTAGTAGTAGTAAAGAGGAGAATCGAACAACAGCGTAATCGACTCGAAGGGGACCCCGTTCCTGTAATCCCTTCCCCACGAGAGAGGGGAGGTCCCGGGGGAGGGTGAGAGGGAGGAGAAGATCCCGCGGGGTCCCTGGAAGCGTCCTGCGAATCGTGGACCCCCCCCCCCTTCTCCGACCGAGAACGCCCAAGAGAGCCCCAGGAACACCCCAAGAGAGGCCGAAGAGGGGGAAAACCAACCCACATTTCAAGCTCCCCACTTCAAGAGGCTACCAGGAGGTCCCGAAATCGCCCATGTTTTTTCGCCTGCTCGACTTCCAGGCTTCTTACACTCCACGTCGGCCCCAATTGCCTCCGAGAGCTCCCCAGAACGGTCCAAGTACACGCCAGGATGGCCCGGGAAGGCCCCAAGACGACCCAAAGGCCCCCCAAGACAGCCCAAGAGGGCCCGGGAAGGCCCCAACAAGGACTCGCGATCGTCGCCGCCGTCGTCGTCGTCGTCGTCGTTCATCGTCCCCCTTCAGGGTCGGCGGCATCGGCCGTAAGGCCTTCGCAAAAGTAGCATTAGAACTGTAATAATGATACTAAGTATTGTTACTATTACCACTAGTAGTAATCGCATTCGTATTATTATTCGTCTTGCTATTATTATTCCAGTACCGCCAGCATTAGTACTCTTACTAATATATGTTTCCTTCCTCTTCCTCCTCCTCTTATTGTTCTTCTTATTTTCCTATTCGTCTATTAGTATTACCGTTCCTTTTCTTCTTAATACTCTTAGTGCTACTAATAGTATTCTTATTGTTTGTAATACTAGTATTCGTTTTCTTCGTATTATTATTTGTATAACTATTACAAGTCCTCCTCCTCCTCCTCCTTATCATCATCATCATCATCATCATCATCATCATCATCATCATCATCATCATCATCATCATCATCATCATCATCATCATCATCATCATCATCTTCCCTCTCTCCCTCCCCCCTTCCCTACCTCAGTCCCTCCTTCCCTGCTCATTCTCCTTCTCATCCTGCTCCCCCTCCTCGTCCTCCTCCTCCTCCTCCTCCTCCTCCGCCTCCTGCTCCTCCTACTCCATTCGTTTTCCTTAAGGATAACTTCTCCGTGTCGCACCCCGAGGCCAAGTTTTAGGGCAGGCCGGGGCTTTCGCTTGAGACTTCCTCACCTTTTTTGACTCTGACGCTTGAACAGTTTCACAAATTGAGGGCGGGTGGTTTTCAAAATGTTGCTCTCGCCCGAGCGCCGCGCACATTCGTTTTAAAATTTGCAAGAATTCCACGGCTTGAAGGCGAGTCGTTTTCAAAATGTGGTTTTCGCCTTAGAGCGACGCAAATTCTCTTTAATATTCGCAAGAGTTTCACGGATTGGAGGCGGGTCGTTTTCGGAATGTGGCTCTCGCCCGAGCGCAGCGTACATTCGTTTTAAAATTTGCAAGAATTCCACGGCTTGAAGGCGAGTCATTTTCAAAATGTGGTTTTCGCCTCAGGGCGACGCACATTCTCTTTCATATTTGCAAGAGTTTCACGGATTGGAGGCGGGTCGTTTTCGGAATGTGGCTCTCGCCTCAGCGCGGCGCACATTCGTTTAAACAATTGCGAGAGCTTCACGGATTGAGGGCGGGTCGTTTTCGAAATGTGGTTCTCGTTCTAGCGCGGCGCACATTTTGCAAGAGCTTCACGGATTGAGGGCGGGTCGTTTTCAAAATGTGGTTCTCGCCTTAGCGCGGCGCACATTCGTTTCAAACATTTGCAAGAGCTTCACGGATGGAGGGCGGCTCCTTGTCAAACTGTGGCTCTCGCCTTAGCGCCGCTCACATTCGTTTTAAGCGTTTGCAATAATGTCACGGATTCCCATCATCAAAGTAGCAGAAATGGTGTTGTGGAGAAATTCAGGATTGTGGGTGCAACAGTCACGTTGGCTCTCTGCGTTGCAGTCATAGGAATGGCGTCCTGGCACGACTCAGGACCATCAAGACGCAACAGTCAACTTGATCCGTGTCGTTGGAAACCTGAGAACAATGTTTTGGCATGCTTCAAGGTCTTCAAATGGGTGTCTTCCAACGGGGATTTTCCTTCAATAAAATGAACCGTTGTATGGGGCCTATTAAGAGGGAGCTTGGAGGGAGGGCTTACTCCAACACCGTTGATGGTTCTTGGGTTTACTTTGGTCCTCCTCTTCCTCCTCCTCCTCCTCCTCCTCCTCCT